GTTTTCCCTACCTACCTACCCTATTTTTTTTCGGCATGTAACGTTAACCACACATATATTTTGTTTTGGCCTAATGACCAATTAACAACGATCCTCTCGCTAACGATCTCCCCTACTCGTCTCACCCGTAGATTGTGCCGTCAGTCACCCCCCTGCATGTTCGTATTTCCCCTAAAGACCAATCAACGACGAACGCCCAAGGTATTCTCTTCGCCTGTAGGTGGCGCCGGCGGCGGCGGCAGTCGGCAAGCGACGGGCATTGTCATTGCGCACATTACATCCTCGATTGGGTGGCGTAGCCGTTCGGGGTACAGGCGAAGGCATCGCGAAGCTTATCTCGCTAACATCGACGCGGAGTTTTCGAGCGTTTGTTTTTGTCTTCGCCAGGTGGCGCACGTGCGGGCGGAGCGCGACATACTCGTGGAGGCGGATCACACGTGGGTCGTGAAGATGTACTACAGCTTCCAGGACGCGCAGAATCTGTACCTCATCATGGAGTTTCTACCCGGAGGTAGGTAGCAGGGAAAAAATTTATTTTTCGGGGGCTACTTTTCAAGCTCGCGTGCATGAAAATAGCACTCTAAAATTTGGTTTGCATTGAACTCTATGCAAAATTACGGGGGCTCTTTTTGGCATTTCGGGGGCTAAATCGCCCCGAGCCCCGTGTATTTTTTTCACTGGTAGACAACGTGATGACATGAGAGCGTTGAGTGGTTGCTGAGCGATTTTTGGGAGATTTTTTCCCTGGACGAACTCTACATGGGCGGGAATACGAACTCGACATGGGCGGGGATACGAACTCTACATGGGCGGGGGATACGAACTCTACATGGGCGGGGGATACAAACTCGACACGGGCGGGGCGGGGGATCATATTCACGACACGTTCAAAAATTTTCTCTACGTAGGTGACGTGATGTGTGTGTGTCTCTACATTTGACGTTGAGGACATATTGTTCTTTTCTTGGTGTGTGACGCATGTAGATGACTTAATGACACTGTCTATCTGTAGGTGATATTAATGTGTGTGTTATTATCTGTGTGCGTGCGTGCGTGCGTGCGTGCGTGCGTGCATGCGTGTACAGGTAACATGTTGACGACTTTTCTCTCTTTCTCTCTCTCTCTATATATGTGGTGACATGACACCTTGTCTCATTGTCTGTGTAGGTGACATGACACACTGTCTCTCTCTGCATAGATGACATTAATGACGCCTTGTCAGTCTGTATCGTATATGTGACATGATGACACCTCATGTCTCTGTGCGTATGTGACATTAATGACACACACTGTCTCCCGCCACAGGTGACATGATGACGCTGCTCATGAAGAAGGGCGCGTATGACACCTGTTATAGGTGACCTGATGACACCTCATGTCTCTGTGCGTATGTGACATTAATGACACACACTGTCTCCCGCCACAGGTGACATGATGACGCTGCTCATGAAGAAGGGCGCGTATGACACCTGTTATAGGTGACCTGATGACACCTCATGTCTCTGTGCGTATGTGACATTAATGACACACACTGTCTCCCGCCACAGGTGACATGATGACGCTGCTCATGAAGAAGGACACGTTGTATGACACCTGTTATAGGTGACCTGATGACACCTCATGTCTCTGTGCGTATGTGACATTAATGACACACACTGTCTCCCGCCACAGGTGACATGATGACGCTGCTCATGAAGAAGGACACGTTGACGGAGGAGTGCACGCAGTTCTACGTAGCGGAGTCCGTGCTCTCCATCAACTCCATACACAAGCTCGGCTTCATCCATCGCGACATCAAGCCGGACAACCTGCTGCTCGACGCAAAGGTAGCTCCATCGCCCGCGGGCGCAGAGATGTTCGCTTGTTCGGGAAGGCTTGGCGGCAGCGATCGATCTTCTCGGGGGTTTCCTCTCGGTCTATTTTTCGTCACATTTCCTTTATTAAAATTTGTTTATTTTTTATGTTTCCCTTATGGCAAGTTGTTCCGTTGTTTCCCACAAGGGAAATGAATACCTTGCTATAAAGGAGCTGGGATTGCATCAGTGTTTTAAGTGTTCGCATTGTTTTGCGTTTGCTTTCATGCGTTTTGCGTGTTTTGCGTTTGCGTTCGCGTCGTATTCGCTCGCTGTGTTGGGTACGCGACTCACCGCTCGCCGCTACCATTGCAGGGTCACATTAAGCTGTCGGACTTTGGGCTCTGCACAGGCCTGAAGAAGTCGCATCGCACAGACTTCTACCGAGATCTTTCGCAAGCCAAGCCCACGGACTTCTGTAAGTAGCGCGGCTGCCGCGACACGAGCGTTCGCTTGTCGTAGCTCCGCTCCTGCCATTACACAGCTACATGTATTGAATGTGAAATATGCATACTTTTAATTTTAATTTACATGACAGCTATATAATAATATTAGGTTAAGTATCATAGTGTGTGTACGTATGTGTGTGTGTGTGCATGCGTGCGTGCGTGCATGCGTGCGTGCGTGCGTATAAATACGTATGCAATACTAAAGGGTTGCTCGTTGTTAACATTGTTGAGTAGGATTACATAATACATATAATATATAACATACGTGTACGATAATGCTGTGTACTCGCTGCAACAGCGTCCAGTCCGATGGACTCTAAGCGGCGGGCGGAGAGCTGGAAGCGAAACAGGAGGGCGCTAGCGTACTCGACGGTCGGCACGCCCGACTACATCGCCCCCGAGGTTTTCATGCAGACCGGCTACACGGAGAGCTGTGATTGGTGGTCAGTCGGCGTCATCATGTACGAGATGTTGATAGGTGAGCATGCGCGCGAGTCGTCGCGGCGATGAGCCGCACAGAGCCGCGATTGGTTGGTCTGCGGGCATCGTCGTAGATACAGCAATGGTGTCACCGGCATTACCAAAATGACTGTCGCGAAGATGAGATGAGAGTGTGCGCGTGTGATGATGTATGAATATTATCGTGCGGGTAGCTATTCTCTGTGAGCCTGGCCTGACCTGAAGTAGTATAGGGACGTCGATTACTACCCGTGATCGTATTAGTGGTTACGCGTGAGTGTGTGTATTACACCCTTTGCTAACGTCTATTTAAATACAGGTTATAAAGAACATAACAACTATGATATACGTATCCAGTTATTGTCTTTAATTGTACTGCATTAACTATGTATAAGCCCATAGCGGGGCAAACGCGTACAGTGGATGTGCGCGAGTAACATCACAAATTACGAGGTTATTGCTGTCTCGTAGCCTTCTCTACCCAATCTTGTATATCTTAGAATGTCTGTCTGACTCTCTCCGATCTCTCTCTAGTCGAACACGCGGTTATATACCCACATAGGTAGACACGCCTACCTATTGTTTGTGGTCACTCCGTTCTACGTTACTGTCTGTAATTGGCTAATTCTACCACTGTCTAGTCCCGGGTCATAACTTTACACAGTTAGCCTGTATACCAAAATAGAACAATAGCTTATTCATGTATATTTACTTCTCTGTCTTTCGACGGTATTACAGCAGTGCTAGCGGTCGCTTCTCGTTTGGAAAATTCATTACATGGATTCGATCAAGGATTATATCAATAAACTTCTTTATATGTAAGGACGTGAAATGAAAGAAGATGAAAGCGGTTACTTTCCGAAGGCGAGGTGACGCTGGGGCGTTACTGAGCTCAATCACATCTCATTGTTCCGGAACCATTGTTGTATCGGGTCAGTCAGTAGCTGCGTTCAGACGAGACTCCGTATTTATTAAATTCGGTATTCGCGAGATACCGAAGCTGAGACAAATTCGCGACTTACTCCACCCGAGCGTTCACACGCTGTTTCGCGGCTTCAGAAATGCCGTATTTAGTTACTTGCGAGCTGCGAGTTGGAAAAAAAACAATGCGTCCAAGCAAACAATCAAGCGAACAATTCAAATTAAACAATCAATGCCCAGCAACTCTGTGTAAACTCTGGCTCTCGACAAATACGCGGTCCAAGAGATTCGGAATTTCTCAAGCACGAGAAGTAATTCGGCATCTGGGAAGCTGCGTATTTCAACAAAATACCGTATTTGTTGGACCGCGCATTTTAGCCTCGTGTGAACACTAAATACCGAATTTGTTGCTCCGTGTGAACGCGGCTAGTTAATCTTGCTTTGCTTCTCTCCCCGGCAGGCTATCCTCCGTTTTGCTCGGAGAGTCCTCAGGAGACGTACCGGAAGGTGATGCACTGGAAGGACACGCTAGTCTTCCCTCCCGAGATGCCCATCTCCAACGAGGCCAGAGATCTCATACAGAAGTACGTCTCAAGTTTCAAGTTTTCAAGATGTTTATTTGTGCTAAACGTGGAAAAATCAAACAGTTATAACTTTGCTTATAAAATGCACGGGTATGGCGAAAGGACCATGCGGTCATCGAAGTCAGCCATACACTATAGTAACAATACATATGACATTCCATCTGATGCTATGTTTGACCCTGAACGGGCCCCTGGCCTTGAGCAGTTGACCTTGGGCGGGTTATCCTTGGGCGAGCTGACTGTGAACAACTAATAGGAACAGCAAACATGTCGCTGAATTACATCGTCTGCAGAGTTGGGCGATTGTTCTCGCTCCCCGTTCGTTCGTTGTCCTTGCCCACTGTTCGTTCGTTGTTCTTGCTAACCGTTCGTTCGTTGTTCTCGCTCACCGTGTGTTCTTTCTTCGCCGGCAGATTCTGCTGTTCGCCGGAGCAGAGGGTAGGACACCACGGGGGTTCCAAAGAGATCAGGTGTCATCAGTTCTTCAAGGGTGTCGACTGGGATCACATAAGGTGAGCCAATCTCTCTCACGTCGCCACACAGAGCCCTTTAACATGTTTAAACTCTTGCTGCTGCGGGTTTCGAGATTAGACACCTCGGTGGAGATTTGATATGCTCGCAGAATCTCGTAATTGCTCAAAAAAAAAAAATCTCGTAATTGCAGCCTTCGTAAAAAAAAAATTCACGGTTGTGACATCAGCTGATGCATAATATTTTAGTATTACTTGGTTATTTGTATTGTGGTTTCTCTTGAGTGAGCGTCGTATAGAGGTTTGACTGCATATCATGTGTAACGTGGGTGGCATCGCCGCTGCTGCACAAGCGTAACACTTGCCGTGTTAAAAAGGACCTCTACATAACAGACACCTGTCTATAAAGGACACCTCGGAAGTTTCCCTCGAGTGAGCATGTTTGACTGCGTGTCGTAAAAAAAGGACCTCCACATAACGGACACCTGTCTATAAGGGACACCTCGGTGGTTTGCCTCGAGTGAGCGCGTGTTTGACTGCGTGCCGGGAGTAACGTGCGTGTCGCGTGTGCTTCTGTAGGGAGCGGCCGTCGGCGATACCAGTAGAGGTGAAGAGCATCGACGACACGTCCAACTTTGACGAGTTTCCCGACATGAAGCCACGTGAGTGCAGGTCGCGCGGCGATGCAGCATCCTTCTCTTCCTCCTGCTTTCCTGCTTCCCCTTCCTTTCCTGCCTCTCTTCCTGCCTCGTACTCTTCCTCCCTACCTCGTTCTCTCTCTCTCTCCCTCTCTATCTATCTCTCTCTCATCCTACCCCACGGCCTTCCTTCTGTCCCAGCGACAGCGACGCGGTTCAAATGCGTAATCGTGCGTGCATTTGCGTTGCTGCGTCGTCGCCAGGTGGCGCTGCTAATAGCTCTCTCTCTCTCTCTCTGTCTCGCTCTCATACAGTGGTTCAGCCGCTGGACGTCGACATCAACTACAAGGACTGGGTCTTCATCAACTACACGTTCAAGCGCTTCGAGGGCCTCACGCAGCGCGGCATCCGACCCAAGAGCTAACCCGGCGCGGCGGGGGAAGCGCGAGACGCCACCGCCGCCGTCTCGCTCCGTCTCCGGGCGTCTCGGCTTGCGTCTCTCGAACTCGACTACAATTTGCCGGCGCAGAGCGTTTTGGCCGTCGTCGCGACCGCCAGGGGGCGATGCCAGTGCCATGCGCGAGTCGCCGATTCCGAGCTCGTCTGCGAACGGGACGAGGAGGGCAAGAGAGGCGAGAGAGAAGACAAAGATGCCGACCACGTTGATGGCTTCGTCTCTCTCTCTCTCAAAGGCGCGTTTTTTTTCGCCGGACGGCGGCGGCGCCGGGAGTCCCGCCTATGAGCAGCGCCCTCCTGTGTACATACTAGATTTTTTTGTTTTTTTTGGTTTTTTAATTCTCGGACTGGTGTTTTCCGTGTTAATTTATTACGAGGCGGCGTGCTGGGGGCGAGACGCTTTCTTTCGTTCGACGGGCGCGGCGCGATTTTTCCTTTCCGCGTGCGCGCGCACAAGCATCCCAGCTGTGATAGCAGTATGACGGCGTGACGCGCGAGTGTCGGATCAAAGCTGAGGACTTTCGGAAACCCGTTTTCCGTATCCGGAAGTCGTTCCGAACAACTTTTCGTCCGTTCCGACGGGCGTCCGTCTTTCCTTTCCGCCGCGTGTTCGATTTCGGAGGACCGGAGGGGGGTGGGGGTTAAATTTCGCGAGAGAGCGCGCGCGCTGTGTGGCCGCGTGTGTTGCTATCCTGACGCTATTACGTGAGGCAGCTGTGAGAGAATTAGGAGAAGGTTGGCGGAGCAGTCGGTGACATACGCGTAGCGGTCGTTGCGGCCAGCCGCCAGAGGGCGCTGTAACGGCCGCCGTCGCGCTACTCCGATTTTCCGTCGGATTTCTCTCGTTGGCGTTGGAAAAAACGGGAAGTCGTTTGACCGATCGAACCCTCCGGCATGGAGATATCATGTTTTGGGGATATCATAAGATTTCACATATGATGCCGAACTGTAATATATCGCTGGCCTGATGCGGCGGTCACTCGGTGGGGTGGGGGGAGGGGGGGGACGCATCAGGCAGTTCCTTATTAACCAGTTATTACATATATATACACACATATACACAGCGTTTTGGAAGTTTGTATGATTTTCTTCTCTGCGTTTTTGTTTTTCCTAGAAGACCGTGTAACATTCCTTGGACGAGAGTTTTTGCGCCGCGCCGCGTTGTCCACCGCGCGCGAGGCCGTGTCGAGCGCGTTTAGGTGAGGATGGAGGAGGAGGGAGAGTTGGAGAAACGAAGCTCGGCTCGCGCGTTGCTCAGCTGTGAACGGGTAGTGTAAAACCTCCGATTCTCTCTCCGTCGTCGAGAAGGGCTCTGGCTTCTCCTGGGGGGAGGGGGGGACCATGTTTGTACGACGAGGATTATGCGCGTCGTCGGGGCGTTGCCGTAGACGGACGCCGCGGTCGTTTGGTCGGCCGACGCGGGGGAGCTCGCGCGGTTGCCAGCGGTTACGAGCACGCGCGCGGGGCAGACGGTAAAGCGAGTCGAGCTCTGTCGTCGTTGCCGGGGACGACGCGGCGGCGGCGGCGAGTTCGCGATGTTAACAATGAGCTTTGTGAAATGTAGTCTCTGCGTAGAGTGCGCCGGTTGTCGCCTTCTAGCGCCCGTCGTTTCTATTTCTTCGACGCGATAGCGACGCGGACGTCGCCGCGGTTACGAGGTCGCCTGTAACCGAGGCGGGGCAGGCGTGCCGCCACCAGGTGGCAGCGGTGGGCGAGTCGGCACCAGGTGGCAGCGGTGGGCGAGTCGGCACCAGGTGGCAGCGGTGGGCGCGTTAACCTGCATCTTTCATCTTTTGTAATTATAGTTTTAGGTTTTTGCAAACGTTGACAAGTGATCATGAACAGAGGCCGCGAGACTGGCGCCGTCCCTCGGACAGCAGTAGCTAATTGGATGCTGAGGGGGGACGCGGCGCCAGACTATAGGTATAAGTGGGCTGGTTCTGCTGTATGTACTATAAAGGCAGGCCCTTACACGGGGTAGTTGAATAATAAGATAATTTTATTAATTATAAATATATTATACAGATTTTGTTACACTAGTCACGGATTATTTGGCCGGACTTCTGGATCCGCGGTAACACGGGAGCGGTTAAGCGCGTGCGCGTGCGTGCCGGGGGAGGTGGGTGAATCGAGGGGAACTCTCTCTCTCTCTCCCCCCCCCACGCGCAGGGCGTGTCTGTCGCGCAGCTGTGTGGAGCGTTGTTGATGACGGGTTCGTGTCTTGGTGTGACGCGCGCGGAGCAGCGACAGCCTGTCTCGCATAATGCCACAGGTCTAGCTCTACCAGACTAGTAGCCATCTTCGCTCCCGCCACACTGAGGCCCTGTAGCAGGAGCGAAGGGGCTACAGTGGTAGAATTAGCACAGACATTGTAGGCAGTGGTGGTGCGAGAGTGTGTTTCAGTGCGTGTAACGGACCGAGGCACGTCATGCGGTTGCGTTTCGACTAATAGGAATTTAAAATGTTTAGCGTTGCCGTGGGAACGGTCACGCGTGCTGTGAGTTACTGCTGCGGGTCCGTGCCAAGATGTCGGTTCCCTCGCGTCGTTGGTAGAGTCTTGCGATCATTTACGGAGGAGAACGTGGCAACGAATTTATGCAGCTGTGTACCGACTGGCCTTTGACGACGATACTCGGTGTAAAATGCTCGGAGAGCGAGAGACAGAGAGAGAGAAGTAAGGGGAGTGATAAGAGAGAGGGAGAGAGAGAGATAGAGAAAGGGGAGGTAGTGGGAGCGAGAGAGTGAGTGAGAGAGGGGGAGGCAGAATGATAGAGAGAGAGAGTGTGTGTGTGTGTGTGCGTGCGTGCGTGCGTGCGTGCGTGCGTGCGTGCGTACGGAGTGAAGAGAGACGTGGGTAATGTATATAAAACGGAAGTTGGTTTGTGAAGTGAAGTGTATGTGATCGGTATTACATTCTATATGGATTACTGTCATGACAAAACATTGCAGGGAACAGCCAGTGTTAGGGCGTGTGTACGTCACTGCTTAATGTTGTTCAGATATGTGGGTCTAGGCTCTGTCTCTGTGAGTGTAAACTATGGAATTGAATTTGGATCAACCTTAACTGCTTTCAGCAGAATTGTTAGTAATAAACCTATATGAATCTGTATAACCAATAACTTTCTCCTTCACGTTTATTTTTTATACACTGAATTTTACAGTTTACTACGTTTTGTGTAGTATATTATTGGACAGGTAACAAGATTTGCATTTGATTTCAGAGAAACTTAAATATTAATACAAATATAGGCACGTAAATATTTTAAATTTAAATACTGACAAAATATTAATGAATATTATTATAGTTAATTTAAATATTATGCTAACGTATATACAAATACTGCAATAATTAATCGTTATATTAACCTATGTCTATTAAATTACAATAATTACACAACAGGAGGTAGCAGTATGCTAATGTTACACAGATTGTCACTCTGACATTTAATTGTCATTTGATATCATTGGTAAAATTTAGAAACGCAATTATTGACTCCAGGATTGGATAATTCAAGGTTGGCAGTACATGCAGCATCGATGCAATAGATTATAATAAAACCTCGATCGTCTGCGCATCACAATATTAACAACAGCAAATGATCTTAAATCTTCCCAAGATAAAGAAAACCCCAATCTGAATAAATGTGACAACAGTAGAGAGAATAGCAGGTGTGTACTATAATATTACTAATGCACCCCCTGTTCATTAAAGCGTTCGATGCAATTAAAACTGACTTAAAAAACTGGTCAACTCAATAAAAATTCCTATTCCGAAAATTACATCCAGGATATTGTCTTTGCTGGCATCTTTGCTACGTACCGTTTTGCAACCTCCTTATCCTTTCACATATCTTTTTTGGGAGTGCGATGCAGACAGGATCGGCAGAACCAAGGTGCCGATGCGCGGTGCATAGATTCCATGTTTTCTTAGATATCCTGTCCTGGCTCTAGCATTGCGGAAGCCACGCTGAGCACGATGCTGCTGCTGCGCGGTTGCTAGGTTCGATCGTGCAGACTTCGTTAAAGCAGCAGATGGCAAACTGCGCTCGCTTGTATTCAATACACACACGCAGGTTACTGGGCAAGCATCGGCCCATGTATTGTCGGATGTTGGCACACAAGCAGGATTCGGCCCATTTTTTGTCAGATGTTGGCACACACGAGCAGCATTTGGCACACTGTGGTTGTCAGATGTTGGCGCACACGAGCAGCATTTGGCACACTGTGGTTGTCAGATGTTGGCACACACGAGCAGCATTTGGCACACTGTGGTTGTCAGATGTTGGCACACACGAGCAGCATTTGGCACACTGTGGTTGTCAGATGTTGGCACACATGAGCAGCATTTGGCACACTGCGTTTGTCAGATGTTGCCCCACACGAGCAGCATTTGGCACACTGTGGTTGTCAGATGTTGCCACACGCGAGCAGCATTTGGCACACTGTGGTTGTCAAGTGGTGACCTGCAGGCAGTACGTGGCACGCTACTGGGCTATCATGTTCTTGAAGGCAAGGCTGAGGATCTCCTTGCTGAATTCCACCTGTGCATCTAGAACTAGCATGAAGTCCGACTCGCCCTGGCTATCTATAAGCAATAAATAAGAACCAACAACTTACACGGCAGATTAAAGTTCGCGACTTCACATGCTACGATTTTCAGCCAACGCGCCCAATATCACAACTACCACAGTATCATCATCTTCATATATATGCATCCTCACAATTGACTTCTTTACCTGGATTGATTGACGAGTAACTTTAGCCAATCAGTGTCGTGATAGAGGGCTCTATAAACCACTGTCTACTGCCCAGAAAACAAACTGCGCCTGTGCCTTTGAACCCAGGCAAAACGAGTTAGCTACGCCCCTGGATTAACCTGTGAGCGACCCGAAATCGAGGCGGGCAATCGAAATTTTCGACACCATCCACTACGACACCGACAAAGTGCTCGAATTGCGCGGAGGTGGAATAATTAAGCAGGGGTAAGGCAAGTAGGAGGACGAGACCGACAAACAAAGAATTGCGTTGGTGGTGGTGGGGGGGGGGAGAACTGAGCAGGGGAGAGGAGTAAGAGGAGAGCCAGTGCGGTACGTGCTACACCCCTGGTTGGACCAGGATGGACCTGGATGGTTCACCCACCGTCTCTGATCTCAGCGACCTCTGCCAGCACGTCCTTGAAGGTGGTGCTGATGTGGTTGAGGAAGTTGACGCGTTCCTTGGGGCTGTCGATGATGGCCAGCACCTGCTGGATGACGTTAACGAGCCACGACGTCGAGTAGCGGAACTTTGTGATCACCTGCGGCGGGAGCGGACGCGAATTAACACGCAGGTTGTTACTGATGTTATCAACGCTACCGAGTACAGGAAGAGTGAATAAAATGAACGTTTGCGTTTCTTTATTATGTGTGTGTGTGTGCGTGCGTGTGCGTGCGTGTGTGTGTATGTATGTATATGTAATAATATATAATATTGTATTATTTATTATTATATATGATATTCCTTTCTTTCTCTCTCCCTCCTTTTCTTTCCTGCATCCTCCCCCCCCCCTCTCCACTTTTCTTTCACTTCTTCTCTCTTTCTCTTTCTCTCTCCACCCTCTCTCCCTCTCTTTCTCTCTCTCTCCCCCCTCTATCCCTCTCTTTCTCTCCACCTCTCTTTCACTTCTTCTCTCTTTCTCTCTCTCCCTCACTCTTCCTCCCTCTCGCGAGGGACACAACTATACGTACCACGCAGAATGAAGCCACGAGGTTTCCCAGCTCGCACATGCGGCCGTTGATGGCCTTGCTGCCCATGAACTTGACCGTGATCGTCGTGCCGCAGAACAGCAGCAGGTTAGCAAGGTTCTCCGCCAGCCACTCCATCTCTGTGAGACCTACGAACAGCAGGGAACAGCAAAGCTTAAACACCTGGACGGTAAGGTGATTAAACACCTGGATGTTAACGTGATTAAACACCTGCATGGGGCCCGTTGTCAGAAACAGAATTGGTCTTAACATTAGTCTTAACATGAACTTTTTCTCTTCGTTGACAGAAACGCTGCGAAGTTACGAGAATGAGAAACCGTAGCAGATTTCTTCATAACAATACGAAACAAAGTGCTGTCGACGGTCTAGAAGAAATTGTTAAAGTTAAGACTAATGTTAAGACGAATTTTGTTTCTGACAACGGCCCCCTAGATGGTAAGTTGATTAAACACCAGGATGGTAATTGTGATTGAACACGTGGATGGTAAGGTGATTAAACACCAGGATGGTACAAGGTGATTGAACACCTGGATGGTAAGGTGATTAAACACCTGGATGGTAAGGTGATTAAACACCTGGATGGTAAGGTATTTAAACACTGCGGTAGCAGGTAACGACCAAGAGCTGTTGTTGGTTGTTAACTATACTTACTACCCTGATAATTTGCCAACGCTACATGGGTAGAGCTAGGCTATTATATGATACAATAGGATATCCTAGCCTGTATATAGTTTCAAGATCTGATAATAGCTAAATATAGAGGTAATATCAGTCCTTATCACTCTTATAGCTGCTCGCCGTAGATTATCTAGACTGACGCACGTACTCGTTAGCTCGTCCACGATGCTGATGACGTCATCCTCGCTCCACTGCTTGTTGTGCGTGTGCATCGTGCGAATGGCTTCGGCGAGCGCGTGCAGGTAACGCGTCGACTGGTCGAGCGTCGCCGGCGTGTTGAAGCTCAGTACGTCCCACATCACCTCCTCTGTAGTGTACACGTGCGTGTGTGTGAAAGAGAGAGAGGGGAAGGTGATCATCATTGCTGATTGAAGAATGAGAGAAAGGGAGAGAGAGAGAGAGAGAGAGAGAGAGAGAGAGAGAGAGAGAGAGAGAGAGACGAGACGAGAGAGAGAGAGAAACAAATGAAGAGAAAGACCAGCAGAAGAAGGAAGAAGGCGGGAGTGATCACGAAGAGCGAAAGAAAACGACAGCCAGCCTTACTGCCATCATCATCAGCAGCTACGCACAGCGCTCGTAACCCTTTCGCTGATGAACAGCGTAATGAAATCTACGGCCGCTGTCGTTTTTCCCGCGGTTACGACCGCCTAATTCCCTCGCCCCGTAATAAGTACGGCCGAGCAGCGTCAATTCCCAATCCCATAAATAACCTGCGAAGACGCTGGGGACAGCGCGGCGATGGTGCGTGGTGGTGGTGGTGGTGGTGGTGGGGGAGGGGGAGGGGGTTAGAATGATGAGAGTGTGGGAGCTGTCGTCGTTGTCCCCACCGTCACTTTTCTCCCACTTACTGTTGTCCGGGGGACAATGATGAAAGTAGGAACAACAGTAAGTAAGAAAAAAG